TGGGTAAAATAGGAGCATGTTATCATATAGAACAAGACAAGACCTAAGTCATGCTGGTTAAGAGAAACATAGGGCAGAATAGAAGTATGTTAACCACACAACCACATGGACAAGACTAAAGCATACTAGTTAAATAAGCAAGAAGCATATAATAAACATGCATAGGTTGCAGTTCAGGGCGAGCTAATCATATAAGTCATATAGAATAGGAACTGAAGCATAGTAGTTGATAAAGAGATGGCTAAGAGGCAAGTATCAAAGTAGAATTATTCTAAGACACATAGAACATAAAAGAAATTATGGTAACAGAAATAGGGGCATACCAGTTAAGAGATTGCAGACAAGAAGGTGAAGGCAAGATGAATCCAATAGCTTAGCCTTGTCTTTCAGCCGGCTAGACAGTGCAGCAAGCACAAGTAACAGAAAGAGCTATAGTGGAGAGTATGTGTGAACACGAGTTTATGTGTGTTTCTATATCTTTTTGAGTGTCTCCGTGTGTCAGAACAATGAAAGGCTTTTATAGAATGCAATAGAGTAAACAAATAAGGTAGGAAATCAATTGCACATAAATAAGGCAAATAGATCAGTTAATCAGTCAATTAGGGCTAACATGAATCAATTAATAAGCAGAATTAAGTAAGTATCCCTTAAATTAAGGAGAATCTCACACGGAGTAAATCAGCAGACAAGATTGAGGTTTAAATAAGGTAAGTAGTAAGTCTAAAGATCAATCAAAACACAGAAATAAGATCGGTAGCAGAACTAAGGGAGGTAGTACCAATCATTAATCACACATAAGGAAAGAACGGGTAAAAAAAATCCTACAAGGAAATATCAGTTTTATAGGGAAGCACAATTTCAAACCCTAATTAGGCAAGTAAATCAATTAATACGTTAATTGACAGAGCTAGGTAAGCAGGCAAAACATTATAACCAACAGTCAAATAATTGAAAACCCTAAGGTGTAAAGCCATAGAGATGAAACTTCAGTAAGATCGGTCGAAAGAGCAAGGAAGAAAACCAGAGTTGAAAAAATGCCTAAGTGTTTAAACATTTTGCAGAAATCTCTTATAAAAATCGAAACCCTAGCTTTTAGGAAAAAAAGAAATCGGTTGATAGTAATAGTAAAAACCGAAAAATCTTAAAGGAAAAATACCAAGCAAACTCAAAACCCTTCAGATCTAAAGAGAGCTAACAGATTCAACCAGAAATACCAAGTTTATATTAAAATATGAATAGAGGTGGAAAATCTATTTTGAACCAGATGTTTGAAGTCATGAAAACACGAAAGTGATAGTACTCACATACAAAGTGATGAACACGAAGCAGGGTCATCAAAAAATGAAGAGTCTAGGTCGACTCTGAGTTGAATCTCTTTGAGATTCCTTCAAAACACGAAGAAATCGAATAACCAGTAGAGGTAGGAGGTCGGATAAGGTGGTAAATCACCAAATGATTCCATATCCGGTTGGGAATCAATGGGATTTGGAGAGAATTTTGAGTGACGACGCTCTAGGGTTTGAGAGCGTCTGAGAGAGAAGAGAGGAGAAGAGGATTCAGAGGCGACGTAATTGGAGAAGTGAGTAGGGTTTTGGGTGTTAGGGTAATTAAAAAAGGAAAGAGAGTCTCGGGCCGTTGATCTTTTGAGATCAACGTCCATGATTGATTCCGGGCTGGGGCATGTTATTTGAAGATTGGGTCATGGGTTACATTTAAGTGGGCTAGGGTGGATTGGGCTAGGTTTTAACTGGGCTGGGGTAGGCTAAAGTCCGAAATTGATTAAGAAAAAGGGGCTATTATTTAAATACATAATTAACTTAATAAAACAATTTTATAAAATAACTTATAAGTGATAAAAATATCCTTTGTGCATAAAAATGATTTAAAATAATTACTTAGTATTATAAAAATATAAAAAGTCTTTTTCTTATAAAATAATGTAATTATACATACATGAGCTATTATGCAGAGTCATTGCAATTATAACGAATAAAATCACAAAAAAAATCTAACTCAGTGCACAGAAATAGCAACAGGGGATCTCCCAGGATATCGTCCCGTAGTCCCAAACGTAAATGTTCAGAGGATCTCCCGGGATATCGTCCCGTAGTTCGAATCATAAATATATAGGGGAAACGCCAGGAATACCAATCCATAGTCCCAAAGTACATATATAGTACGGGGAATCTATCGGATGTTGCCCCGTAGTCCCAAATATAAACGTGTAGGGGGATCTACCGGAATACCGATTTGTAGTCCCACAGTAAACATGCAGAGGGATCTACAAGAATACCGATCCGTAATCCCAAAGTAAACACACAACAGTCCCCAGAAAGAATCTACAATTCTATACAAGTTCATACCAAGAAAGAAACAGAGATTTCTATTCTAAATATGCTGCACAAGATTCAAATAGACAGTTAAGCAAATAGTACAATTAAGTCACTTAAGCATGCTTTCTTAAGCTAAACAGTAGGCTTTAAATACAAGTAGTGTTCAAAAAAAAGAAACACAGATATTTACTTAATGAAAATGGGGTTTTCAACAATTAGCACGTGTACGCACTCGTCACCTCACGTACACGTCACTCATATAACAACAGAACCAAAATCCTAAGGGGAGTTCCCCCACACAAGGTTAGGCAAGACACTTACCTCGAACTAGATCAATCAACTCGAAATTACGTTCTTGCCACGAGTACCCGACTCCTAATAGCCCAAATCTATTCAAATTAATTGCATAATGTAAATATAACTTCAAGTAACTAATTTAACTAATTAATTCGAAGCTAATACGTGAAATTAAGAAAATCGCCAAAAAAGTCCCCCGGGCTCACGTCTCGAAATTGGATAAAATTTACAAATTCAGAACCTCCGATCACTCACGATCACACTCGAATAAAAATCACCAAAATCCGACGTCAAAATCTCACTCAAAACTCGGATTCTCAATTGGGGAAATTTTCTCCCATCTTCAAACTTTTATCCCCCAAATTCCTTAATTAGAAGAGGAAAACAACAATAAATTATACTTCTAAGATCAAAATCAAGATAGAAATCATTACCCAATGTTTCTCCTTTAAAAACCCTCGAGAAATCACCCTCAACCGAGCTCCAAATCGTTTTTCCAAGTTATGAGTTCAAACCCTCATTTTTCCTTTTTACTGCCCAGTGATTTTTGCACCTGTGAGGGATCTACCGCACCTGCATTCCCGCTTATGTGGCCTTTTATCCGCACCTACGACTTTTCATTAAACATCCAAAAGTCGCACCTGCGACCCTATACTCGCAGATGCGATCCGTTTCTGCAGTTCTTGGGCCGCATCTACGACCAGTTTCACTTGGGCCTCAGATCGCACCTGCGGTCAACATACCGCTTCTGCGGGGCAGCACCTGCGGTCCTACACACGCAGGTGCGATTATGACAAGTTCAGCAATTCAGATTTTTGCCTAAGTCCAAATTCCAATCCGTTAGATATCCGAAACTCAACTGAGGCCCCCGGGACCTCAACCAACCATGCCAACTAATCCTAAATCATACGAACTTATTCCAACCCTTGAATCACATCAAACAATGCTAAAACCATTAATCACCCTCCAATCCAAGTTTTATGAACTAGAAATCTTAAGAATCCTACACCCGATGATAAAACCAACCAAACCAAGTCCGATTGACCCCAAAATTTGTACACAAGTCACATTCAACTCTACGGAGCTATTCCAACTCTCGGAATCTGATTACGACCCCAATATCAAATTTTCACTATCGAACCGGAAACTTTAAAAATTCAACCTTCGGTATTTCAAGCCTAAATAAGTTACGGACTTCCAAAACACAATCCGAACATGTCCCTAAGCCTGGAATCAACCAACAGAGTCACAAAACTGACGAAATTCCATTCTAAGGTCGTCCTCACATTGCTCCGACTACGATTCTAATTCTAAAGCTTAAGCTCTCATTGAGGGACTAAGTGTCCCGAAAATACTCCAAAACATAAAACGAATCTTCCCGGTAACTCATAATAGCAGAAACAAACACGGAGAAAACAGTTAATAGGGGATCGGGGCATTAATTTTTAAAATGACTGGCTGGGTCGTTATAGTTATTATGAACTGTTGTTGGCTATTGGTGTTGGACCCGACCTTTATTCCAGCTCATCACTAATATCAACCTAAGGTTAGGTTTAATACTTATTGAGTACATGGGGTTGGTTGTACTCATACTACACTTCTGCACCTTGTGTGCAGATTTGGCTAATTTGTTGGTGTGATCGACGGGAGCTGGGATTGAAGATGTACCTGCGTTTCGGTTGTAGCTGTCTATTGTTAAGGGTAGCCTTAGATTTATAAACCTCTGTTTATGTACTTTTTCAAACAGATGATGTATTTACTTCATTTCAGCTTTGTAAACCTATTCTTAGAAGCTTATGATTTGTATTACCAGTTCTTGAGAAATGTATAAGTTTCAGATAATTTCTTCCATTTAATTGTTTTATAAATTTCATTGGAAATGGATAATTGTTAATTGTCTTACTTAGAGGGTTGGGTTAGGTGCCATCACGACTAGTTGGATTTTGGGTCATGACACAATTAAGCTCTTGAAAATGCAAATCTATAACAGCATAAAAAATGTCGACACGCAAATGATGGGAATATGTAGCATCAAGAGCTCTACGCTTTGACTTCCTAGGAAAGTAGCGAGTGTCCATCTTTGGAATCATTATATCATATTTATCACAAAAATAAGAGACATCTTTCATTAAAGATCCAATTCACTATTCCTCATCGTTTGTAATTGTTGCTTTGTAAGAGCAAGGAGTCCCACAAAATTGACAATATCTTGCACAATTTAACTTATTTGTCATTGTTAAAACTTTTAACATCAAGTGTAACATAAAAGCAAAATCAAATTCCTTAATCTTACCCATAAGACTTTCAACAACAATTCTGTCAGCATGGAAATATGACAATAAGGTTATCCAACGTTTTATAATGAGAACCCTAACGAGTATCATCTGGTCGTTGAAGCCCACACTCTTGATTTAATCCTCGTCTAGTATGCAGTTCACCTGATTTGAGAAACTCCTCTAACTTTTTAGCTTGATGTCCTCGAAGCAAATCCCTGTGCTTAAAAGATGCTCCAACAATATTTAAGATATTAGTAACTATAAAAAAAGTCATCTACATCTGAATGCTTATTTTCAAGAGCCACAAATGTTAATTTGTCATGACCCTGATTCGCCCTCCGTGAACCATCGTGACGGCACCTAGTCTATACGACTAGGTAAACCTAAATTGCGGAAGTAAAACAATTTAAAACAGGAATAAAGTAATAATAGTGTTTAAATGTACCACTCGGCATACACCATGTTTAACTCTCAATACCAATACGTAAATCCAAGACCCGGAAACCCACTAATCACAAGCTAAGAAAAATACTACATAACTCTAATTCCGGAAAGTTTAATAAGAACAGAAAAAAATAGAAGGGCTAATTACTAAAAGCAGGAATAGAAAGGGACTCCTTGGTCTGCGGATGCGGCAGATGTACCTCGAAGTCTCTAAAGCAGTCACCTCCCTCAAGGATGATAGGCCTGAGAAGCGGTATCTGGATCTGCACATGAAAAACATGCGCAGAAGAGGCATGAGTACACCACAACGGTGCTCAGTAAGTGTCAAGCCTAACCGCGGTGGGGTAGTGACGAGGAAGGTCAGGGCCCTACTGAGATAAAAATAAAGAATATAAGACATGACACTGTAAAATAAGTAATATAGTTGAAAACTAATGATAAGAATTTAATACAGGAAAATAAGGAATTCAATAACTAAAACAGATGCAAAAACAATCACAAGGAAATAACCGGAGATCCTCAGTATCCCAAGGATCTCTTAGTACCCTCAATATATACCAGGGATCTCTTGGTATCCCGAGGATCTCTCGGTATCCTCAATGTATGCTAGGGATCTCTTGGTATCACGAGGATCTCTTGGTATTCTTAATGTATGATAGGGATCTCTTGGTATCCTCAATATACATGCTGCGGATCTCTCGGTACCCGCACTTCAGCTCAAATCGTAAATGCGTACAGGGGATCTCCCAGGAAGCCGTCCCGTAGTCCCAAAGTAAAACACACAACAATGGCACAAAGAATACTCAAATAAACTCAACTTCATAACAAGGTAACACAGACAAATTCTAACCCATCATACTTCACGTAATACAAATAAGGAAGTTAAAGCAAATAAAGCAATTAAGTCAAATAGACATGCTTCTCTAACTAACAGTAGGTTTAAAGGTGAAAGTAGAATAAATAGAAAGGGAAAACACAATTAAAGTTACTTAATGAAAACCGTATTTTCAAAAATTAGCACAAGTACGCACTCGTCACCTCATGTACAAGGCAATTCAATTATCACAATACCAATCCTAAGGGGAAAGTCCCTCACACGAGGTTAGACAAGCCACTTACCTCGAACCGGCTCAATAATCAATATGAAATCACGCTCTTGCCACGAGTACTCGACTCCAAATGGCCCAAATCTATTCAATTCAATTGCATAATGTAAATAACACTTCAAGTAACTGATTCTACAATTATATTCTAAGCTAATACGCGAAATTATGTAAAATAACCCAAATGCCCCTCGGGCCCACGTCTCAGAATCGGGTAAAATTTAGATTTCCAGAAACCTCGCACTCTCACGAGTTCAGTCATATCAAAAGTACCAAAATTGGACCTCAATTTGTCCGTCAACCATCCGAATTCATCCCGAGGACTCCGGGACCTCAACCAAACATGCCAACTAATCCAAAAACATCATTCAAACTTGTTCCAACCTTCGGAATTCTCAAAACAACATCAAAACACCTATTTTTCATCGGATTCAAGCCTAAGAATTCCAAAAACTTTAAAAATACGTTTTCGATCAAAAAGTCTATCAAACCTCGTCCGAATGACCTGAAATTCTACACACATGTCACACTTCAACACTATGGAGCTACTCCAACTTCCGGAATTCTATTCCAACCCTCGGATCAAAATCTCGCTATCGAACCAGAAACTTCAAAAATTCAACTTTCGGCATTTCAAGACTAAATTAGCTACGGGCCTCCAAAACATAATCCGAACACACCCCTAAGTCCAAAATCACCCAACGGAGCTAACAGAACCATTTCCATTCCGAGGCCATTTTCACTCTATTACGATTACGGTCAACTCTCCAACACTTAAGCTCTCATTTAGGGATTAAGTGTCCCAAAACTCTCCGAAAGTTAAAACCGAATATCCCAGCAAATCAAATTAGTAGAAATAAACTTGGAAAAAGTAGTTAATAGGGTATTGGGGCGTAAATTCTTAAGAAAGACCGGCCAGGTCGTCACATAATTGCAGTTGGTGAGCGAAACAGTGAATCCAATATGATGATGGACAGTCATTCAAAATCAAAGTCTTAACACCATTTAGCTCTCCCTGCATGTTACTAGCCCCATCATAACCTTGCCCACGTATTTGCGTTGGACTTAATGAGTGATTAGAAAGAAAAGAGTAGATTGCCTTTTTCAATGACATAGCCGATTTATTACTAACATGAACAATACCAACAAATCTCTCTATGAATTTGCCTTCTTTGTTAACATATCTCAAAACAAGTGTCATTTGCTCCTCGTGTGATATATCTTTTGATTCATCAACTAGTATACCGAAAAAATCCCCATCCAGGTCTTCAATGATAGCTTTAATTGTTTCTTTAGCACAAGCATCAACAATATCTTTTTGAATATTTGGAAAACACATCATTTCATTTGTTGGAGTATTTTCTAATATAATGCTTCCAACATCTCGATCAATATCTCCATACCATCGCAAAAGCTCAAGAAAAATACCTCTATTTGTAGAAGATTGACTCTCATCATGCCCACGAAATGGCAAACCTAGTCTCAAAAGAAATCTTGCCACACTGATTGAAGCACTCAAGTGATGTCGAGACTCACTTTTTTCTTTCTCGGATTGTTTGTCAAAAGAAGTGCAAATTGATTGTGATTGATTCATTAAATCAAGCATCGTATTGAAGCACTTGTTGTGGATGCTATTTACTTCTCCGATATGAGCTTTAAATCTTTCAATAGCCTTGTTCCAAGCTTTAAAGCCATTTTTTGTAAAAGCATATCCCGTAATTCCATGACTTTCATGTTCATTTTTGAACAAATAACAAACCAAACAATATGAACATCTTTTGATATATCGTACTCCAACCACTTAGAATGCTGACCCTTAAACCAACCAGGACAAAACGGACGCATTATCTTCCCAAATTTAGTTTTAGGAAAATCATGATTCAAAGGCCGGCAAGGCTTTTTTTTAATATAATGTCTTCTAACTTCATCAAGTATATTATGGTTGTATTCTGTAATAGGCTTTCTATCTCCCGAATCAATGTTGAGAGATTCTAAATCAAGATAAAAAAGAAATGTGTCCCTCTGAATTTCCGGAGCTATGGATGAAGCAATAGATGGATTAATAGAACTAAAACTTGGTTGCACAACATTCGTTCTTGTGACAAACCTATCCATCTCTATTCACAAAGATTGATGAAATATTCCTACAAAATAAGATTCAATTTTACCTGAAAATCAATTCAAGTAATTCAACTAAATCCTATTGGGGAACTCATGCCCCTCTTTAACAATATAAATAATAAAGCAATAACAACATATTTAACCACATTGCACCGGAAAATTGATCACACTTCTTTATAACTAAAAATATCAGAAGTATTTATTCTTTCGAAAGATAAGATGAGAACTTACAAATTTTTGAAGCAATGAGCCAATGAGGATAAATTCATCAATCGCACAAACTGATGCTAATAACCTACATTTATCCCCAAAAAAATCAGTTTTGAAATTAAGTCAGAAATAGAGATAAATTTATTTTTCACCTTTTGACAAGTACACATAACTATTGTTTAGTTTCCATAAAATAATTACAATAAGTGGGAGCAGTCATAAAAATATTATTGAATTTATTTTACAAAGCATAGATAATAGGAATTGTAGTTTGTAAAATCTAATATCTTCAATAGAATATTACCATTTATACCCAAAATCTATAGCATAAATCAAAATACTAAATCTTATTACCTTGTTCCTTGTGTTTTAATTTTGGGATGGGGAAGTCAAGAAAACTTATTGTTCACTGTGTAACCTGTGAAACTTAAAAGGAGAACTGGAGAAGCCGAGAGGGATTTTGTTTTAATATTTTGGTTTGGTGTCTTTTGAAAGCCTACCAATATTTTAACTAGTGGGGGATTCTTTTTCTCCTCTCTTCTAACTAGTAAACAAGAGGAAATTAAAAAATGGAAAAAAAAGTAAAAGAAGGTACAATAAATCAGCATTGAAAAAGATTAGAAAACAAGGAAGTCAATGATTTATTAAATAAGGAAAAGTGTTATTTTTTGGAACAAAAAACATTGCCAGTAAGATTCAATCTCATAACGTTAGCTATTCAAGCGCCCAAACCTCAGCCTCCAAACCAAAACACCCATTGGAATTTTTGGTTAATGGGTGCTTGCTAATATATTATATCAATTTTCATAAAGGTTTTATATTAGTATACCGAGTCCCCGTCGGAGTCAGTGGGTGCTGCAACACCCAGAACCTTACACGTGGATCCACCCTTAGCCAGGGCAATTGAATGAAAGAAGAAAAGAGTTTCTTAGGTCATTCAATGGACAATTATATTTGACATGAACATATAGTTGGTCGCCTATTAGGATTTGACAGTTGAACCATATCCTAGGGTAATTCAGAGCTATAAGGACAGAAAGAAATGCTACTTTATTCTTCTACTAGTTCTTGAGAGTAAATTGTATATTTTATTATATTCAATCGTTAAGGAGTATTGCTAGATGCCATCCTTGATTAGTATATTGATGCGATCAATTTACTACCGGCTTAGTGTAACGACTGTCGTGCCCTCTTTTTTTCTCGCGAAATAGGGTTTATGACAATGACAACTCTTTTAACGGGTATTAAAAGAGAAGAGTCGCCACCTAATGATTAAAGTGCATTAGGACACTAAGAAGAGTTTGATTTAGGAAAAGCAGAGATCGAGTAAGGGCTTGAAATTATCCCAAAGGTAAGGTGTTAGGTGCCCCTCAGAATCCACTAGTATGGTTCCCGGCCATACTATAATTGTGACTTTAAGTAAGCAAATAAGAGTTTCAAATATGAGGGGGTTTTCACATAAGGGTTGCAAATAGATAAAATTAAAAGAAGTGAAAGGCAAGCTAAAATTTGAGAAAAATGGTTTAAAATTTTGAAAGGTAAACAACAAAATAAACAAGTAAAGGAAAGGGGGGGTCCTAAGTTTATAAATAATATGGATCACCCCACACAATGTCCGGTAATCGCTCCTCGACGAGGGTTTACACGTGACATTATCGCGTGGTCATCACATCCATATCTACCCTTTCCCACTCCGTTAAGGTGCTAAAGCGCGGAATAGTCTCGTTTACTTATTGCATGCTATTACCAGCCCCAATTCTATCATCCCCGGAGGTGCTTGGGACTACTAATCCTATAATGGTGGAAAAGTTGGCTTATTTGTGGTTTCAAAAGGTAAAAATACTAAGGCGACAAACAAAACATGTATAGAAAATATTAGGAAAACACATAAACAAGTATGGCTCAAATAAACCTTNGAATACCTTTCTTAGCTAGCCTAGCGTGCTAGAAACCTACAGGGAACAAGAGCCAGATCGAAGACATTCCTTTCATTCTTTTATACCCCTCTCTTCTTAGTTGCTCCTCTTTCTAGGGATCTAATGGTCGTAGACCACCTTCTTGTGACTATGTTGAAGAATTCTTTCCCCCCTTTGAGTTCTCGAGTGAAAGGGTCCAAGCCATAGGAAAATATCCAGTTTCTCTCGCAACATATCTAGTTTATCCTGAAGCAGCATTTCTCGAAGTAGCATTCCCATAAGTAGAGGATGAAACTAGCAGGCTGATTTATCACATATTTTCAGATAAGAAGTTCGAATTAGACCTGCCCGCTGGTCGTAATTAACAAACAAAACTTGTGCAGTCACAACTTTTATCCTAAGGCTTGCCTAAGTGTTAGACGAAACCTATAGGCATGATATCTACTGGTTTCAGAAAAGATGAAGTGTACTGATTTTAGAAGAGGTCGTCAGTTATTCAGGGAAGACGAGTTTTGACAAAAGATTCTGCAGATGTTGGACAATGATATTGCCGATTTTAGACTTATAGGTGAACGAAAACGTTTCATACTAGGTTGTTAATTCCTATAGGCATGCTTTCTAAGCGTTGTTGACTTTAAAAACATTGTTATTGACATGCAGAAATCCTATAGGCAGGTCATCTATATGCAGTTAGTTATTTAACTCCTATAAATAATAGGTTTGCCTAATGACATATGCACATGCAAATTGCAGGAAGTCCTATAGGCATATTATCTATATGATATGCAAAATTTCATAAATGACTTATGGACACGGTCTCTATATAATACAGAAGTGCAGAAACCTATAGACATGGTCTCTATATAATGCAGAAGTACAGAAATCTATAAACGTAGTATCTATATGAAATGCAGAAGTGCAGAAGTATAATAATTCCCTATGAACATGATATCTATATGAAATGCAGAAGTGCAGAAGTATAATAATTCCCTATGAACATGATATCTATATGAAATGTAGAAGTATAATGATTCCCTTTGAACATGATATCTATATGAAATGCAGAAGTGCAGAAGTATAATGATTCCCTATGAACATGATATCTACCCCTTTGCAGGCACGATTCCCTCCCTTTTCACTAGCCATCCCCAATAGTTATTACAAGTTATTACAGCCGAAATGAAATAAGAAAAGCAAAATTAAAAGTACAACCGAGGGGAGCCTAATTCAGACTCCATGTCTGAAATATGAGATGAACCAACTCTAAAGATCATGATCCAAAGCCTTTCTCTCATCTTTGGATGTGTCAAAGTTCCCTAAGAGCCTCATATGTACTCCGGGCAGTGCTCACACCAAATGTTACCAGATTAAGAACATAATGCAGTGTGGAAGGACCAGCCCTCAAGTGTCCAAGTTCAGAGGGAACTCAAGGTCCCAAGGCAAGGCTCACAAGAGGGGGGCAAAACCTAGAAGCTAGGAGAGAGTGCAAGTGCAGAAGTGAAATTTTGAAAGGGGAAAGGGGGAAAAGGGAACAACTTAAAAATCAGTGTATATAGGGGTATAGAGGAGTAGGGAATTTGCAAGAACACAAGAGAAGCAGGCTGATGGGCATACTCAGCAATGGGGGATGCTAGCACACCCTCCAGCTTGTTAGAGGTTAGGACCTCACTGGTTCAGAACTCAAGTCATGGGCAACAACTCATGTTGCCATGCCCTAAGTCACCACTTACAAACACATAGGGGTAATGGGGTAGGGAGCAAAGATTCACAGTAGAAACAGGCAATAGAACATAGGCATATTAAGTTAAATATTGAACTCTACATAAGCAGTAAGGTAGCCATGGATATAAAAACTTTAAGTAAACACATTGGGGTGATGCTGAAACTAAAATTAGGACATACCAGTTTCAGAGAAAACAAACAAAGAGAAAGCAGTAGTCTTGTAAAGCCAAAGTGCAAACGAGCAATCAGAATGCTATGAGTTTAGAAGAGAATTGTGAAGTGTGAAGTGTAGAAGTATTGAATTGAAGGTGTCCTAAAGTGCAGAAGGGTCGTGCCCTTTTATAGTGCAGAAAGCAAGTAGAAATAGGTAAGAAAAAAAGTTTGGAAATCAATTACACAAGGTCTCCCTTTAATTAAGGGATTCTGATTTCAAACGGGCAAAATAATTAAGGAAATGGGTCAATCAAACACTTTTTAAGAGCAGTATAAGAGGGGTAAATACATAGAGGTTTATTTAAGGACAAAGTCTTGATAGTGCACGGTTTGTGCAAGTAAGGAAAGGAAATCAGTTAACAGTTAGTAAATCAGAAATTGAGGATTTCGTATGAATGAACCAGGTCAGAAAGATGGGAAGGAT